AGGTAGAGTTACATTAAACCATAAATGGTTAAACTGAATTCGTATACTAACAAGACTGAATAGCACATCGAATCATATTTATGTATTCGTGACCAATATCATGTCGATTAGTTCACGGTACATTTACAACTCAATCAATTAAGAAAATAATCCAAATATTGTGGAATACTTTGATGTTATGTGATTAGACTTACTTAAAAGTGACCGTAATTTAAGTATTTTACTAGATCCCATTCAGAAACAAAACTTTATCAGAAATCGAATCATTTGCATGATATTCCAATTTATATCATTAAGTTTCGAACTACGGGACTGAACTATTATGTAACCAAAGTTCAACGCATCGATTTCACCGTAATATTGCGCATATACCTCACTGATGGATACTGAGATTATCAGAACTACGATGTACAATATATGTAATACATTACAAACAATCCGATCACACATATACTTGCTAAAAATATTTATATAAAAAAATAAAAGGTCATCTAGACAAATGGACGGTGTGAAGAAACTAAGTTAATAAAGAAAATAGTGTGAAAAACGATGTGAAACTCACTACGCTAGATAATTAACTAATATTGTGAGGGCAAGTTTAAGGTAAGAAAAAACTCTTTTTGAACATACAAAAGGGGGTTTGAATTTTCGTATGGCTAAGGCTTCAATAAACCTTAGTACAACCTTTGTACAACACCACAAAAACTGTGCTAAGATCAACCTCATGACCTGTTTCAACTATGTGTTTTTCAACAGGGGATGATAGATTTTTATTATCTACTCTTATTGGGTCAGTTGATTTCACTTGTATTTGCAGCCATTTAGGTATATGTTTAGACACGTTAATTTGGATATCATTACTCCTTTCTATGTATGTATGGTCACATACACACGTTTAAATTAATAAACACAATGGGATGTGACGCAATCGTTTTCATGTCTTTTAGGTCTTTGGTGAAGCATGGACCTTTTTTCTTCGATAATGACCTTTGCTACGTTGTACGTTCTGTTACTAACTGATTTAAACCTACATTTCAATATAAGGCTATTTCACTCACATCTGAATGGTAAGATAGTGCAGACAGGTTTTTTGTACCAAAAATGTTTTAGTTCTCGATATATTATGATCCTTCCACCGATTTATGAATCTTCAAGAATAACAATTTACTATTAATAATCAGTAGCAAAGTTTGTTGGAATACGATCAAACCTGGTAAATAGGTACCTTATCAAACGTTGTTTGTATTGAACTGCGCAATAACTATTATAACTAAGGTACTGAGCTGTCTAATTTGGCTCGTTTGAACCGTTTTATTGAATCGTCTTATCTTAAATATGTCTGAGAAAGGAAGCTGGTCGTTGTTCACCTGTTCAAATGAAAAACTGATATGGTTTGGAAGAATGTTAAGTTTATTCAATAAACAGTTCACATCCTCCTTTCTTTCACAGATAACTATGATGTCATCCTCATATCTCGTATAAAGAGACATGTTTTCGACTGTGTTCAACCAGATTTTAACATAAGCCATAAGTACGTCAGCTAATAATGGTCCTAACGGACAACCTATTGAAACCCCAACAATCTGGCGAAAGCATTCAACTTCAAATGTGAACTAAACTTTGTCAGTACAAAATGGTAACAAATCTTTAAGAAATTTTAAAGGAATAGGTAATGTAGGGTTGTTCAAAGATATATAGTCATATAAAATGTCAATAGTCTTCTGTAAAGGTACATTTTTGAACAAGGAATTCACGTCAAAGGACTACATTTTCTTTCCCCTGATATTTATATCATCTAAATATTCAACTGATCCAGTAGAATTTCCCAGAGAATACTTACATAGACACCTTCGGATACAACCCAACAATTCGGTTAACCATTTAGCCAAGCTGTGTGCAGCTGATTGATACGTTGATAAAATTGAGTGTGAAGCAACGTTCAATTTACGAGCTTTAAGTAAACCATCTAAATAAAGATATTTAAAACTCATAGGTTTTAGAAAACCTAATTCCTCCTTGTCAATAATATTCATGTGCAGCAGTTTCACTAGGTTTGAGTTTATTCTCCGCTTTAGTTTGGTAATACCTTCAAATTCGACATCAGACATAAATTTACTTTAATCACTGAGTATCTATAATATCTCACTTTTGTATTCACGCTTGTTTATGATAACATTTGATCCTTCATCACGCTTCAGCAAGACAATACCAAGGTTTGTACGTTGCTCCTTACGGAATTTAAAATTTTTGGAAGTCAATATGCTTCTCTGCTTTGGTCCGTGATTATAAAATTACTGCTGTATATTCACCAGTTTAACTTTACACAAACTTTGATTATCTAATGACGTAGGGATTAGCGCACTCAGGTAATCACAGAAGTCTGCAAATTTGACATTCATCTCCGATCAAAACATTCGCACTACAGGGACGGAAAAATTTAAACTAACTAAAAGTGTTTCCTTTTCATTAGTGACGTACTTATCAAGATTGACAGGAAACGAATTAACATGATTATTATTACTACAAAGTTTTTCAAGCAGTTTTTCCGTTTTCTTCTTTTGTTTTTGAAATGACAGTACTGAAAAATTGATTTATTGAATATAACAGACTATAGATATTTCTTCTAATATAGTCAATACGTGAATGTGCAATTCAATTCAATTGATCATTGTGTCTTAACAATTATTTATATGCGATTTCATCAGTTGAATAAGAGTTGAGATAATCGGTTGTAATTTACTTGAACATAAATTCTATTATAATTAATTTGGGATTATATGACTCTACAAACAAGATTTATAAAAATTCAGTTTCACTTGTTTCGATTAAAATTTTTCACTTCAGGTTAACAAGTTCATTTATCATTTTAATAATATGTGTAGGGAGTTTTCTTTGAGAAATGTAATGCAATTAGTTCTTTTGATAAATTTGGATAGTATAATCATAAAATGAAGATTATTAGAACTATGTGATTAATTAACTTCATTACCATTAGCCAAAGTCAATTGCTAAATCTTCAAATTATAACAGTGTAAATAAATATTAGACACTATGGGTCAACTAAGTTTACTTTCTTGACACAACTTGGTACTAAGTATCAAATGAAATAGAAAAATTTACACTTTCTGCAGAGTTACGAATGTTAACACGTCTTACACGTAAACAATTTTTGGATCCTTATTTTAGACGAGTATTCTAACTAACCTAAATAATCATCCAAATTCCAACACGAAGTTGACTATTTTTTTTATATAAATGAATGTGATATATAACAATTAATCTTAGTATAAGGTAATTTGGTTATGTAAACTAAGATGTCAAATGTTTTCTGCTAGATATGAAGCTGATAATAATTAAGTGACTGTAAATAAACTAATGATATCATTTAAGGAAGTAAATCTGTGTTGAAATGAACTAGACTGATAGTTTAGAAATTTGAATGAATCAAACATAACATTTCAGACAGCATATTTCGAATTTATTTTAATATCATGGTTCTTCATCAACAGCTTATAACTGATAATATTTATTATGCAATGATTGGAGAGGATTCAAAGAGTTTACACATATGTCAGAATTAGTGAAATTGGTTTATGAAAAGATAATTTTGAAGTTTCTGAAATAAATAACATAACGAAGATTCCATAAAAAACTTTAAATAATAATAATGATATTAGTTAGATACCATTTTAATCAAAACTATGGATTTATCATGGAAGAGGTAGACTAACAACTGCTTTTTGTTTGAACACAACTTCATTTCCAGTTGTTTACAAAAATTACTTTACAGATTGAAGTCATGAGTCAATTGAAGCTAGAACACCATGGAAAACCTGGAGGCACTGGACGACCGTTTCGTCCCAGTATGGGACTCCTCAGCTCAGTGGTCTAGTTGGTTAAGCGCTTGGCGCAAGACTGATAGGTCCTGGGCTCGAATATCGCATGGCGCGGGATCGTGGATGCGCACTGCTGAGGAGTCCTACACTAGGACGAAACAGCTGTCCAATGCTCCCAGGTTTTCCATGGTGGTCTAGCTTCAATTGACTCCTGATTTCAATGTGTGAAATTTCAAAAATCTCCACAAACCCCTTCTGATAAAAATTATTTATCATAGGAATTTATTTACCAAAAGTGCTTCTTAAAAGTTTCATTTTATGATTGTTTTATTCAAGATTTTTGAGATTGTTTTCATAAGTGGTAGTAAAATCATCTCTTGGAAATATACGTGACTGATTTCAACACAAATAGCAACTAGTAAGATATCTGGCATTTTTATCATAAACTTGTGCCTAAAACTCAGATACTTTTTCACAACTGTTTGCTTATGGTTTGCGCTGCTTAAAGAAGTTGAGATTCTTTAAAATACAACCATTGAAAATAGCTTTATCGTTTCATTGTTTCATATATATATATATATGCGATTATTTGGTAACTATGCTGATTTGTGGAGAAAAGTAGAATATTTCGTAATACTTTATCAGCTCTGTAAAACTATTAAATTCCCGAATGGCTTTGGGCTGATTAAAATGTCTCAGGTATACACAATCGCGAATGATTATTTTATAAACATCAAATCATAAAGAGGCAGAGTATATACAAAATATGAATAAGTAGACCGACAGTTTAATAAATTTTACCAATACTTTAAAAACTCTTTGTAAGATAAATAACTTTCATCATTTTTAATTCACTTGATATTTTTCTCTTGGTATTGTTTGAGTCCCAGAGTGAATATCAACTCTGAAATGCAGGTAAATCCAGCTGACGAGTCCCAAATAAGACGAAACGCGCGTCCTGGATTCCACTGCTAGCCACTATCCATCATTGCCTTAATTTAAAGAAACTGTCAGTAGATTGTATGAAATCTAAGTTATTTATGGATGGTTAATTCTTGAAATCATTCAATCAACAAATTTTCGTATATTACTGTAATATTTTTTTTAAAAATTTAGACAAGAATATTGTTTAATAGGATAGATTTTGATTATTTCTGTTTATAGATTTTCATCAAACGTAACAATGTTCAGAGTAAAAGAAGGTGACAATATAGTTTTTATATGTCCTAGTGATGTGAGAAGAAGTCAAAAATTATTTTGGGTAAGTTAAAATTTACATTTGAAAGACCACGAAATATTTCGATTTTGATTGTTTCGTAACTTAATATTTTACTTTCTTATCAAACATTAATCATGTACAGATAATTCCTTGAAATGATGTCTACTACAACCTTAACAGCTACCTAAATTTTGAATATATTATTCTGTTATATGTTTTTAAGGTCACAGATTAATCAAATATACTCGTTACTTAAATCATGCATTTGTCTTTAGCAAAGATAATAAAAGCCCCTTTGCTTTGGGTACATTGAGGTAAATATAGTTGTAGAAGTTAAAATGTCTCATAGATTAGATGTGCTTACTTATGACTGTAGTTTAAAAGACGGTGTGCTCTAAGGACAAAATACATTTGTTCCATGATATATCACAACGTAGTAATGCTTTATGTACGTAGTGAGTGAAATCCGGTTGTATGCTAATTATTCATTTTATATATTTAATAATGTACATTCACAGTCTCTCTGTTTGCATTAGTTTGGATTTATATCATTTCAGCATACATAAATTAAGTTACTTTAAATTTACTCAAATAAACTATAAATTTGAACATCGCTTTCTTATCACTTATTTCTCTTCCTTTTCATAAGAAATTTTTGATACAAGTAAAATTCCTTCTTTTTTCCCCCTCACAGGATGATAGAACTGTCACAATAAACTCAATATAAAACACACCCTAAATTATAATATTTTCACACGTATTTTTAGAGCTTCTGAATAAAAGCTGATAGCTTTACATCATATTTTACTTTCTTACGCAAAAGTCTAAATGTTCAATAATATCAATAATAACCAAAAATATTGAGTAAAATAGGTTTATTGATATGAAAGAAGATGTTATTTTAATAAACTTAGTCTATGATACGAATAGATAGACTTCATTTTTACAGTTGACTAGTCATTGAGAAGTGCAACAGTGTCATAGTTCTACAGTACTTTAATGCTGATGGACTTCTATCTATCATGTTGAGGTGTGGTCAGTTGTCTATATGACATGGAATTATGTGAAATGTGTTAAGATGTTTGGAGGTTCTAAGTAATTAATCCTGGATCTGGGTTTTATGCCAGTCAGCACTCATCATCAAAGAGCCTATGCAATCTGGAAGGAAATGACATTTCTTATGGGACTCGATCTTTTTATCCATTCGTTCTGTTATAGCGAACTCATAGAATGTGACGAATTAGGACATTTTACAAACTTCAAAACTAGCAATGAAGTAACAAACAAGCTTTATCCAAAACTTTATATTTGTTTCAGTGGAATGGTACTAGATATAAGCTTGTTAGTTTTGAAAATGATAGTTTTCAGTGAGGATTTATATTCACCTCTTGAATTACTTCTCTTCCATTCGATAGCCGGTAAAATTTGATTTTACAATATATTCTCAGTCCATTCATCATATTATGTCAATATTGACTTAAAGTGATGTATTAGGTATAAGATCAATATGTGTAACATATACTCCCAAATAGTATCAAGAAAATTTCAACCAGGCAATAAATAAAATAATTCTGTTCATGTAAATAACGACTAAGGCAGGGGATATCTATTATTTGAAGATACTTTTAAGTGTTTTCTTACCGTATTATGTTATTTAGTTTTCACTTTCAGATAGCCTGGCATGTTGCTTTTTCATAAAAAAACGTATTTTAGAGCTAAATCATTTAAAACAAATATTATCGACTGTTTATTAAAGATTCAATAATTAAACGGAAGTCATCTGGTCAAAAATAACTATATTTTCAATGTGACTGGATAATTTCAATGTTCTGGCTAATATTTAATAGGATCATTCACATTAGTTTTATCATTTTGAATAATGTGTATTATATTTTTCATCCTACACTGTAGACAATGAGCAAAGAAACGTACGATGATTGTGGTGCACCTAGCTCGTCTCAAACTGTGAAGCTATTGGACTGCAGTCAAAGCCCCAAAAACACAGAGTTCATTTTAAAAGTAGCACAGTTTTCGGAAATTCCTTATTCTCCACATTTTCGAGAAAACGATTTTGTTTACTTTTTGGGTAAGCTTATTTATAAGTGACATTTATTGATCTAGGTTTCTAAGCAAATGCTGATTATAACTCAGCATTTTCAAAAGTAAACTTATCATTCTTGTAAGGTATCCATGCATCATAAAGCCTAAACGGTAATTATTTCTGACAGATGCAATGATCAGAGACTCTTTGTAGTCACTCTAAGCAAAGAAGTAAAAAGGTAAAAACCCTAACCAACTCTCAGGTGTAATACAAAATAATTGACATGTTGTAATAGATTTAATATATCGGTTGACAAAGAAAAACGATAAAGAAAGACTGTGTCAGATATATTGTCAGGGATGAAGTCAATCTAAATAAACTCTGAAACAGTAAATAAACGTCTTAAATAAAAAATAACACAATTGTAATATACTAACGAGTAGACAAATTAGATTTTCCGACATTTCGTGACTCAATGTAAACCACTTCTTCAGTGAATAAATGACCAAATCAAATTAACCCAAGTTTACATAGTATTTATTCTGATTATTTATTCTCTGACACTTGATGGAGAAACTCTGAAAAAGATGCAAACATTCACGTATCTGGGTAGCATCATAGATGAACATGGAGGATCGGATGCAGATGTAAAGGCGAGGATTGGAAAAGAAAGGACAGCAATACTGCACTTCAAGAACATATGGAACTCAAAACAACTCTCAACCAATACCAAATTCACAATTTTTATTACCAATCTCAAGACAGTTCTCCTGTACAGAGCTGAAACGTGGAGAACTACTACAATCATCATCCAGAACGTACAAGTATTTATAAATAGCTTTTTGCGCAAGATACTCAATATCCGTTGGCCGGATACCATCAGCAATTGCGTACTGTGGGAGAGGACAAACCAGCTTCTAGTTAAAGAGGAAATTAGAGAAAGATGATGAAAATGGATGGGATATACAATAAGAAAATCACTAAACTGCATCACAAGGCAAGCGCTAACTTGGAATCCTGAAGGGAACCAGAAAAGAGGAAGGCCAAGGAACACATTACTTCAGGAAACAGAAGCAGATATGAAAAGGATGAATGGCAACTGGGAAGAACTGGAAAAGCCTGCCCAGGATAGAGTTGGATGGGGAGTGTTGGTGGGCGTCGAATGATAACAGGAGTAAGAAAGTAAGTAATTTATTCTCTGAAGAAGTGGTTTACACTAAGTAACAAATTTTTAATTAATTATACGATAATACTAGCGGCTTCTCAAGTTTACACTGATGCTTTTAATTCACAAAATAATGAAATTTTCTTAATAAACTTATTCAACTCAATAATTTCAACATATCACTAACCATGCCCGCCTTAAAACATTTAATTATCAAACACAGAAGTGAAGAAATTAAAATGCTGATCAATAGAATCTTTAAACCAGCATTATTTGAATCTAATTCTCATATCACAGATGGACGATGTATTTGAATAATATAAAACGTTTTATTTTTCATGTAATTAATATAAATGTAAATGATTCATTATTTATAATAGTAGCTATCTCAAAGATCATGAATATGTCTACTGGATAAATAAAAGTAGGAACCGATAAATGTTTACTTAACACAATTTTTGTGATAATCATTCATATAAACAATACGAAACTACTTATTATCAATAACATGGAAATTCTTCACCTTTATAGAAAATATTTCCTGTCATTTTTATTCATAAACCTACACTTTTCAAACTGTTCTGATATATAAATGTTTTATGATAAGTAAATTCAAGAATGTGTTCTGAAATATATCTAGGAAGGTGTAATTAGATATGCTTAATCATCATATATTTCATAAGAGATACAATCAATTTTGACTAAATACTCAAATCAAAAAGAAATTGTAGATAGAACAACTATATATAATTAGATATCTTTATATTATATACAACTAAATAAAAATCAGATTTTATTATTTTGCAAAAATTAAAATGAATAAAATAGGAAGGGGAATGGCACCATACTTAGCAATTGTTTACATACTTTTTTCCAATTACTTACAGTTTCAATGGTTAAGATCATGAGTCAGTTGAAGCCAGACCACCATGGAAAACCTAGAAGCACTGGACGACCGTTTCGTCCTAGTATGGGACTCCTCAGCAGTGCACATCCACGACCTCGCCCTCTGCGAGAATTGGACCCACGACCTACTGGTTTCGCGCGCAAGCACTTGACCACTCGACCACTAGACCACCTGGGTTCGAACCTCGCAGGGGGGCGAGGTCGTGAATGAGCACTGCTGAGGAGTCCCACAATAGGACGAAGGGGCTGTCTAGTGCTTCCAGGTTTTCCACGGTAGTCTAGATTAAGTTGTTTCATGATCTCAACTATTAAAATATATTTTAATTAATTTATATAAAAAAGTATTTCAGATATTTTGTTAATGAATATTGAAATATATGGCAGTCCATCTTGTTTAACAGTCAAATGAATTAAAAGGGAATACTGACTTTCGTAGCTGATTTATGTATTTCATCTAAAATACTCACAAATTTAATAACATTTATACCATAATTACTCGGTTCTTTGAAAGCTACTTCACTGAATCTTTTGAAGTATATCATTCAGCCATATAACATGAAACTTTAATTGATGGTATCTTGTTATATAGCTAAAATGTTGTTGAATAGTGATATATTACTGATTATGTATCTGTTTTTCTTGTTTCAGGTCAGCATGATTTATGCTCGATTTACAATCTTCGTATTGCTGTTAAATTAGTCCCAGCTAAAAGTGTAAATAATAATCAAGGTAATCAAAGTGATATTATACATATTCTGATGTAAACAAAAGTGTACTTGAATTTCTGTAATCCATGGACAAGTGGCTTCTTATGTTTTTGAAATATTCTTAATTAGTATCGTGTTGCATGATGTGTCATAATTTTACGATTCAAAACAATCTACCTTGTTACATAATAGATAGTTTTAAATATTATCTCTCTGTCTGCGGTATATTGTGCTAGATTGGATACTTGAATGGTACACAAAACAGAAATCAGATCACGTTATATTAGATGCATGATTCACAACCAGGAAGGTGAATGCTAGTCAATACTTCATTCAACACAATTACAATTATTCACTCAGTGAAATACATACCTAGAGAGGAAACCACACATCTAATAGCCATTAGACTAAGTGATTATATGTTAATGCTCAATGACCAGTCACATTTTACTCTCTCTACTACACATCACCCTGTTTCTTGCATCTTTAAGGTGATTGATGATGCGGTATAATTCGACTACACAAAGAGATATTCTGATCTTCTATTATGTTTACTCTACAGTTCTCGATGCTACGTTAAATTACTCGATTCTGAGGGGAAATTAATTTTCAAGACAAACATTATTATGGACATGCGAGAATGTAGTATTTATTTTTTATTTCCTAATCCCCTTTTCTTTAAATGCTGAATGCAAAACTGTTTATAAGAATTAATTTTTAAAAAGGCCCATATGATTTATTCAGTAGCTAATGTGCTTCCCTTCTCATTGTATATGACCTGTAAAATCAAACGGCAAAATATTTATGCTTTAATATGTATTATCACTTATCTAAATTAACGGAAATATCAATTTAAGTACTCAGCTTTGCAATTAATTTTTCTTCTGCTTACATTTTTTAAGGGATTTATATTAATATGAAATAGTTATTGTGAGTTTATGGATTGTTAATCGTTTTATTAAAGATACATATTACGGTATAACTAGTTGACACTTAATATATTTCGTGTTCAAACACTTATTTCTAAAGCATTCAAACGAGATGAGCACTCCAATTAAACAATGAAAAGTATGTGAACTTTCATACGGACTCATTATCATAAAAGGCTACTAAATAATTTACAGTATTCTTTGGATGATTGTGATAACTTATAGTACTTAAATAAGCGTTTTGCTTCTTTTGTATGTCTGAGCATGAATTTAGTTTTTTGAGTTAACCGGTATAGGTGATAAAAAGTCACCGTTTTTAAATTAAAATGTCTAAAAATCTTTCTGACTAAAGGTGCGTAAAATAGCGTCAACTTATTCAATACTCAACAACAATTTGCTACTGCACATATAATCACATACGTATCCAAATCTGATATTCTCATCATAACAATTCACTTTGTTTTGGAAAGAATGTACGCCTTTCGAATACAGCAACCTGCCTTGACCAAATTTTTGATCATTCTGAGATGAAGTTTGAAAGGCTTTTAAACTATGAATGAATCAACCACGTCGATTGAGGAAAAAATCACAAATAAATTCAAATACATCCAGCTGCTTGATAATTAATCTTTCGGAATATTTACATTCTATTAAGTAATTCTTTAATACTCATGATGCTGTAAAGCATTTTTTCTAATATTGATCTGTGACTCGCTTGTTTCGAAAACGCCTTGAAGGTTTTATTCTATAGAAATTAATTTCCAATTAAAAATAACAATTCAAGTTTTTCATTAACAATTTTGGCCCTTCAAAGTGTTACAAATGATTGTTATGTTTGAAATACATATTTTGTTTTCGTAAATTTGAAGGACTAGAGTTCATTTGTTCATCTTTAGTTGAATTTATTTATTTATTTTAACACATAGATATTGGTACAAGGAGGCACCAAATACATATGCGCCACACAAATTTCATTTGATTTGTGTGAGGGCTGTGATACTGCCCGGGTGCCCAAACCGAAGCAGGTGGTTTTCTTAGAGGGCCACACTGCGAGCCTCCGACCTGAAGGTCTGATCCACAAGGCAGTGGAGCATTGTAAGGAGATGCAGTCCCATGGTGGCCGGTGATCAACGATTGGTTCATATGTCATTTGTTCTCGCAGGATACTGGAGCTCATGTGCACCATTGCTTTGGAATCCAGTTAAAGCGCCGGACATTGGCTTTTCGTCCTCTCATTTTCGTAAACAACACCCCGCCACGAGAAGGCAGTGAGTAGGACTTCCTTGGTAGAGGCTATATACGCGTGGTCATGTGAGAGCATTTCGAGAGGGAGAGCGGACTCTCCTCACTCTCAGCCTTACCAGGGCATTTGGGGGCCTTTAGTTGAATTCCTTATCTGCTATCTGACAGATAGTCATATTATTAAATATATTTTTCGAATTTATTATAGATTTCTTTATTTTTTGATCTTAAACAGAGTTATCAACATCAACTCAGAAATTAAATAATTTTGTTAATGACAAAGATAATTCTCCTAATACTGTTACCTCAGATACATATAAATTAAATCCACACAGAACTGAAACATTATCAGCATGGACACGTTATAGATTTCTTCTCATTCCAGGATCACTTGGTTTTCTTACATTGATTGGAATACAGGCTGTGATTTGTGCATTATGGCATCCAAAGAAGTCAACTCAATGTAGAATATGTTGTTCATCACATATAGTAAATAAATCAAACGATACAACTAATGATACAAATGAAATATCTATAACACCTATCGAAATGTTAGAAACATCATTTACTAGAAAATCATTTGAAAATCATCAAAATCAATCTAGTCAAACAAATACACTCATAACTCAATCAACTTTAAATGAACAATATAATAAAGAAAATTTTATGAATAATTCTAAACAAAATTCTGATATTGTTAACATTGTACAAGATACGTATACATTAAATAAATGTATTTTAGATAAATCACCATCTACTATTCAAGTAATTACAAATAATGAAGTACCAATTTTAACAATACCAACAACACAAACATCATTAACAAATAATAATTATAATGTACAGTTTTATACTTGTCCATATCCTATTGATAATAATTTAACATGTTTAGTTCCAGTGAAAGTTAATAAATCCACTGACATCTTTTCTACTGATATAGTTAATTTAGGAAGTGTTATTAATATATCTGTATAATTTATTGTATTGTATTGTTTTTTTTTCTTTTTTCTTTTGTGTGTGTGTGTGTAAATGTGTGTCTTTTCATTATTTTGTTACTTTTATGAAAAGAAAAACATTGAAAAGAAGAAAAAAAAGAAGGATTCATGTTAACTTTATTTATGTTTCCATATGAATAAGTGACTATTTTGAATCTTTTAATAAAATGATTAATAAGATTATTTATATTGAAATGTGTATAAAATTATAATAAACTATCATTTTGATAAGAAACAGAAAAAAAGACGAAGAATCGTACAGAAATTAATTTTAAGGGAGGATTAAAATGACCTGAATTTGTGTATGAGTATTAGAATTCTTATCAATTTATCTTTGATAATATGATGTTAAGCTATTATAATCAACTTCTTCATGCCATTGTTTTCCATCAGCTCTGTGTCATAAAAGATAATAACAGTTGTCGAAAGGTACTAATAGTTTACAATTGATCGATCACTAGGTGGTGATCAATATCATGTTTGTCAGGTGCTTCTTAGTACAGATCGAATCTTACAGACCAAGTTGCAATATGGCCACCAGTTTGGGTGAATCGACATTGCGTGCACTGTGTTGAGATAAGATGGTGTTTGGAGGTAGTCAACAGGACACCCTGGACCTAGGTTTTGTGCTATTTGGCACTTGTCAGTAAAGTGTACATGTAATCTTGAAGGAACTGATGCTTCCTGACGGATTCGATCCCGTGTCACCCAGCTTCACAGTCAGAGACATTACCACGGGCCGCGAACTGAAATGCATTTACAATTGATTGATCACTGGGTGGTAATCAATGCCATGTATGTCAGATCCTTCTTAGTGCAGATCAAATCCTACCGACCTAGCAATAATTCTAGTAACATACACCTTTTATAAAAAGGAAGTATGCTTGAGCTTCACTTTTGAAAAAAAAACGATACTTAGTGATCGTTGTCACACTTTTAAAATTAACATAGTCATCAATATCATTCAATCTTCATCAAGAATGTATTAGCATTTTCTTGAAAGAACCTCAAGCTTTATATGGCATAATTTATCCATTGGAAGTTAAAATATCTAACAGTTACATACTTATAAATATTGTGAGTTTACGATTGAATAAATAACTCCAACCATATGTAACATGGCCGAAGACTTAAGTCTAAACGCTAATTATTAAGTAACATATATCACTTATGTCTAAAATGAAAATTTATTAGAACGTCAGCATTTTGTTTCCCTAGTAATAAACTTTAGAACTTGTTATATATATAAGAGTTTTACCCTCTACCTTGATAGAATCAGTTTTATTAAACAACCTATTTTTAACTCCAAACTAGAAGTACATTTCCTACAAATTGTTTTTCAGGAAGTAATATATACGTTTTTTCTCTCCTTTTTATTAATTTAGAACATACATAAGTCAAAACTAATATCCCGACACTCAAGTTCTCATAATACCAGTGATAATTTGTGGAACTAATAAAATGCTTGCTCATATGTTGTTTATTATATCAACATTAGCTAATAATTGTGGATAAGATAAATCAAATAAGGGTTCTAAATATTCTTCACTGTTTCTTATCAGTCTATATTTTGTTTGTTAGATAAAATAGTTCAGTATTAGAAGTGAAATAGTACAAAATGTCAATTCTCATCCTCCAAAAAGTTTGCTTTAATGAAGAATAAATTATTATCAGCAAAGGGTTGTTGAAATCGTTGACTTCCATCAATATCGTTAACCAGTCGATGGTCCTGGGTTTAAATCGCGTGCTCGATCATGAATACGCACTGTTGAGGAGTCCCATACTAAAATGAAAGGCCGCTCAGGGTTTCAGCTTATCAATATTGGTCTAACACCGATCGACTCATGATCTCAATGAAATAACGCATTCAAGTTTAGAAATTAAATTGTTAAGTAGTTAGTTGATTAATTTTGATAATAGTTTGCTACTTGATACACACTCTTTAGTTAACTATTCTTGATAATTTGAATATGCATTTACATCAAATGTGTATAACTGTGTTTCTATGAACATAATCCATGTGAGTTATGAATTTAATAAATAACATTAAATTAACATTGTTCACAAACCCGTTTCGTCTAAAACGTAACCGGATGAGTGAAAATGTCAACTATTTCTTGTATGATAATAGTTAACGAGAATAGTTGATATTTCGAAGATGCAGGATTCAGACTGTTTTTTTTTTGAAAAAAAAATATTTAAAAAACAAACGAAACTACTTTTTTTGTTTTAATGAATCGAAATATTCACTCATTTTATAATCGGTTATCGTAACTACGCCTATATCTGTATAATTATATTTCAGCTGTTGTACAAATTAGAGTATATAAACTACGAAAAAGTGTAATCAGTGAATTGATACATTCGTTTGATTTAAATTTTAACTGGAGTATTCATAAAATCAAACAAAATAATTGGGCCTTGATTCATTTAATGAAATAAACACTTTCGTTGATAATTGACAATATGTTATCCTAGACATTATTTAAACTTTACTGAATTTATTCTTTGGAAGAAAATATATTTGTAAATATATGAATGAGTGAAATAAAATAATATAATAATAGAATATAAAATAATATTCTCCAATTCACCCTGACAAATGCTTTTTCATAATTCAAGTAGTTTATGTATAATGACGAATTTCATTCATTGCTATCATGCTATCATTGGTAAGTGCATAATATTGGATAACGTTCATGGTGATTCCCTCCTTTGTTTTGAATGATGCCTTGATGACCCTAGATCCGTGAGATTCCTGTCCTTTAAGTCCATTCCGTTCTTCTTCGGACAGCATCACAGAATTCCATGAGTTTATGAAGCATTTTCTTCTTCATAACCAGAATACAGTAGCATCTCTCCCAATCTAGCCTTTGCTGTTCAGCTTGAGGTCAGTGGGTTTCGCTCATTCCAAGTCATCCCGGTCTCACACATTATCCGAACATTCCATGTACCTATATACGTTGTTGCTCTGGTTATTAAAAAGGGAATAGACTTCGTAACTTCCAAAAAATCTCGGCTTTCATCATGAGGTTTCATAAATCTTTCTTCAACTGGGAGGGCAAAGTTGTTTAATTTGGTTAACGTAATGTTTAGCAAGATTGTTTTCTACGGGATGGAGTTGACAACTTCACGTTCATTCCACCTACTTTACCAGGGCCTGGGGATTGGTAGTAGCCCTAGAACAGTTGCAAAAGAAGTTAATCAATACATTAGCTCTGCTTTCTTTCTTGCAATTAAAGTCCAGATTTTACAGATCGAATGGATAGAAATTTCACGAATATTCAAATTGACCAGATGAATCATTTGCACATTTCCTGTCACTAATGTTCTATTTAGTAATTATTAGAAGGGGTTTGTGGAGATTTTAGAAATTTTCACAGATTGAAATCATGAGTCAATTGAAGGTAGACCACCATTGAAAACCCGGAAGCACTGCACGGTTAAGTGCTCGCATGTGCAGCCAGTAGGTCCTGGGTTCGAATCCCGCGGGGTGCGAGATCGTGGATGCGCACTGCTGAGGAGTTCCATACTTGGACGAAACGGCCGTCCAGTGCTTCCATGTTTTCAATGGTGGTTTAGCTTCAATTGATTCATGATTTCAATCTATTTAGTAATTGTCAATGAAATGATTACCTTTTTAAATATTTTAAATAAAACTTTCGATAAATCCATCTCATAACATTCTAATTACAATTGCCTAGATCGTAATTATTACTTTGGTTAAAACTAATTTATTGTTTATGAAACAGTTTTTTTAGAAGACAGTAATGTTATTAACTTACATACATGTGAATGTATCAAAAAATATATTTGTAAACCAAAGTTTACTACAACGTAAACAACACTAAAATAACACTATTTTTTTCCTCTTTAAATCTTATAAATTACATTTTAGACATAAATATGAAAATACCAAAGTAACTTTCACTATACAAGCTTCAATTACCACAGGAAAATGTAATAGACATATATTCCACAGATTGGAATCATGAGTCAATTGAAGTTAGACCACCATGGAAAACCTGGAAGAACTGGACGGCCGTTTCGTCCTAGTATGTGACTCCTCAGCAGTGCACATCCACGGTCCCACACCCCGCGACATTCGAACCCACGACCTATCAGTCTCGCGCTAAGCGCTTGACCAACTAGACCACTGAGCCGGCATAAAATGGTGGTAATGTCTAACTTCAAAAAACATTTGTCTTCAGTGTTAATTAAGTTCCGAAATTCAATGGTTATTTATAGGATTATCAGTGATCAATTAGTTTCAAATGATTTTGATAGATATGCGAAATATATACTAACATTCTAAGTGTTCCATTAATCACATTAAGTAAATGCAAACAAACAATGAAACGGTTTTCAATTTTACAAGAATTCAAAGAATATTTATATCACCAAATAAAAACAGTTCTGTTTTACAGATTATTAAAATAATAAAATCACGTTCCTAATTTAAATCAATAAAGAAAATATTGACTTGGTTTGTTTTTTGTTTCTGTGTCTAAAGTTTGGACAATTTTGCATCATTACAAAAACATGGAAAAAAAGAAACATTCCTAAGACTAATTGGTGAACATTTTTCTAGTTATTCATCGGTGTAGTGAAATGCTTTTTCTTAGTTCCTTGAAATGTTTCATAACATAAGTTTATATTATTATTTTTTACAGTAGTACTGTTAATCTTTCGAGACACTGACAAATAAAATTTGTTATTAAATATGTTGAAATTTATCTACAAACTTTCTACGGGTGTCTCACTAATATATTTCAAGTTGAGGATTTAATTCATAATTATTATTGATGAATTCAACAATACCTTGATGTAAAGAGGTGAACTCGTAAAAATGGTTACTCTTGTAGAAAAATGAATTGATGGAAACAATCACTTTTTCACACGTATGTTTAGGACATGACAAGACATGTTAATCATATTCATTCCGTAAATGTCGGGTCAGCAAAATACATTGGTACCTTT